ATATTAAGTAGGAAATTTCATCATATTGTGTAACTTTGCACATACACATATATATGTATTTATAGTGGTGAACTAACTAATACGTCCATTAACCAACTCTGAAACTTTATCATATTCTTTTCAATTTTATATAACAAGGTAAACATTAATAAAAATTAAGGTTTTAATAACATTAATGTTTTAAAATTATATTTTATATTCAGGTAAGCATTTAGTGTGAAGTTTTGAGATCTCTATTGAAGAGTGATTATGTTATTATGGATTTTTAATCTAAAAGCTTGATCAATCTGACCACCAAAATTAAAAGGTGAAAATAGTCTTACAATACTTTCAAAAATAATAAAATGAAATCCCTCAAATTATTAACATGTAAAACTAACATTTCATACAAATGAAAGGCTGTCATGGTAATAAAATTTAATTAAAATTGCGAAATTATTAACATGTAAATTGGCATTTAATTTATAAATAATTTTTTCAATCATCGGTAACCCTTTTAATTAAATTTTTGATTTTGACATCTTATCTTAACATATTTTATAAGTATTTTTTCCTCACTCATAATATGAGTATGTTATTATAGGATTTTGTAAAAGAAAAACGCAAATTTAAAACAATTCTTGGAAAAATGTAAAATGAGTAGATGAAAGAGAGATACATAATGTATATTAAAAGCAAGAAATGAGTAGCTTGCTTTAGGAAAGAAAAATTAACCCCTTTCTCTTTGATTATGTGTACATTATTACCTTTAGGATGAAATTAGTTGAAAAACTCATCCCCAAAATTAAATTAGCCATAAGATGGAGATGTACAAAACCTTTCTCTAGCTCCTTTTTCTTTCCTATATATCTTTTATTTACATAAGTTTTTGTTCTTCTTAAAAGCCTAACTAATGATGAGACCCCATTGTGATTTTGTCCTTGTTGCACTTCTTACTTATATTAAATTTATTTAAGTATTATTTAACGTGTTTCAGAGCTTTTCAAGCCATAGGCCCATACCTGGAAAGTAAACCTGCAATTAAAAGTTTATTGTGAGCTACAAGCACTTTCTCGAAATTGTTTCTTTTTTCTTTTTGAAGCTTATGTTTTTTTATTTTCCCTAATTATTCGCTATCTGAAATTTACTTGTCTAATTAGTTTAGATTCGTGGCGGACAAGCTCACAAAGGGATAAAGTATTTTCTACCAAAAAATCTTTCACTTCCAAACGAATTAAGAGTGAAGAGATCAAAATTAATTGTGTTCAAGAGATGTTATTTGATACAACTTCGGAATTAAATAAATAGTAACCCAACAACTTTTAAAAATATTACAAAGTAAATATCAATTTAAAAGAGGAATTAATTAGAACACTAAAATCATCAGTCTTAGACTCAGATTCACTTGTATGCTTTCAATAAGTTAGACACCGCTTATATGAAATTTTCCATAATTCATCTTAAAAGTTACTATCTGTTTCATTTTTTCAGAAGTATTTGATAATCGAATATAATTAATTTTGAACTTGATTGAATATAGTAATGTCCAGCAGATCAGCTAATAAGTCATTGGTATTTATACCTACTTACATGAATACTTGATTGCTTGTACGTTACTTTAACAAGACGATTTTCTAACTTTTTCACTTTCCATGCTTAATTAAACCTTGCATGCCATTCTTGTGAAAGGGAATTCTTCGGAAAAAACAACGATATATTCAATTGGAACTTTTTCGGTATCTTTGGTACGAAGGAAAATATTCTACTTTGATAATGTTTTCTTACTTATTTTTCGGTGTTAGATTAGGTAGCATAAAATATTTCTAGAAAATACATAATTTAGGCAAATACTATATGAGATAAAATGGATAAAAGCGGGAGAGACTGGTAGGTCAGATTCTAGAGTCCAGAGTGGCCTGGTGATGTTGGGGTGGGGAATATGGTAGGAAAGATTGAGAAAGAGTTCTGGAAAATATTTTTCCTCTTTTTAATAGGAATGTCACTTTCCTCCAATTGGATGAATGAGTTCATGAGAAAAATATTTTCTAAAATATTAAAGCCAACCAAACATGAAAAAATTAAAAAATATTTTTAAGAAAATATTTTCATCATACCAAACACACCCTAAGGATTCGTTTGGACATAGATACCCACATTTTTTAAAAAAAAGTTGATTTGGGTGAAGTTTGATGTGAAACTGAAAATGTGTTTGGACATAAATTTTGGGGCAAATTTTGACATGTTAAAAAAATCCTTATTTATTTCAGCTAAATAATCTCAAATGGTCATGATTTGGTCCAAAAAGAGTTCTTAAGCTATATTCGAGATTTGAAGTTTTGGTTTCCAAAATCTCCCAAAAATTAGATTAATTCAATAAACAAACACACGCTTGAAATTTTTTTTGATGAAAAAACTTCCAAAAACTTATGACCAAACGCCTGCTAAATATCTTTCTAGAAAATAAACCTTTCTTCCTTTTGTAACCTAACCATCTTCATATGTCAGTTGTCAACAATAATACCATGGAGCACAAGAGTTTAGTAAAGTTATTGTTTAACCGAGGAGGGCATGAAGAGTTTGGAAGCTTTGATAAACCGAATAAACATTATTCAACAATAAATATGATTTGAAAATATTTCTAAAGCCTTAATTAATAAAAATAATATAAACTGAGAGGGTCAAAAATTCCGTTTCTAATTATAATTCGCTGCTCTAATATATAATATATATTTTTCAGATTAGATCATTATATAAGAAAACCAATAATTTCTGTAAAAAAAAATTCACACTCAATCTGTATGGGTCAAAATCTGCTTTCATTAAGATTTGACACGAAACGGTATCGCGAAAAACGATATGGCCGAGGTCGATTAGTAGAAAACGGAGCTTGTAGCCGAAGAGTCAATAACGGCCGAGGTCGAGTATGAAGGGCAGTACTAACGGCTAGTTTTCGAATTAAAATATTCTCTTAAATATTCTATGGTGTCTATACTTTTAGGGTTGATTGGGGAATGTCCCATATAAATAGAAAAAGAAATAGGGGGAGATAAAAGGGGTAATATTCTCTTATAAGAACATTCTTTGAAAAATAAACTCTCTCTAGATAAAAGACAATCACTACCTTTCTAAAGAGATTTGATTGTCTACTATTCCACACTTTTTTATTAGATCTGAGAAGGGTCCCAACGTTATAGTATTTGTCTATCATTCATCATTGTCAGAAAAAAAAATCATCCACCTCATTCAATATTGGGTGAATCATTCTCATTATTTACTTTAATGTCATTTATTGTTATTTATGGCTTGATATTCCCCCATCATTAATGATCTTGAAACATTGAATGTACATCACATTTAATCTTCTCTCAACACTGTTCTTGCGTTATTGGTGTTAATCGATTATAGATCTGAAGTTATTATCATTAACTAGGTTTAGCCCTTCGTCATACAAAATTAATTAGTTTAATCAAAAGTCTACATTTTTTTGTCAAACAATTTGGCCGTCTATGGGGATACTCTAGTTAAATCTTTAGTTTTTTCTAGATCTATAACTGGCACAGTTCACAAAAAAAGAAGAGAAGCTCCTACTTTCTTGTACACCCAGGTCTGACATGGCAGGTAAGGGAGAAGAAAGGATGAAGGCAGTGGCCGATCTCACTACCAACCTCTTAAAGACCATCAATGAGGTCTCCGAAACAGAAGGCAAAGCCATAACGCCTAACACCTCTCCTCGATGAAGTGGATCACCCCTCCCTCACCGCAGTATCACAACATCCCGCGGTAAAGGAGCTTTCACATCTACAACGGAAGAGGCGCCACCAGCGGTGAAGAAGCTACTCGAAACTTGGCTGACAAATACGCTGACCGACATCCTCAACAAGCCCACTCATGAGGCAGTTAGAAAAAATGCAAGGACTTGCATTGCACCAGCAACGGCTAAGCAGCACGACCCTCCCCCTTCAGTAACAGGATCACTCACAATATTAATAATGCAGGTAACGATACCCTCACGGCCATTCTGAAGAAAATGGAAGAAATGAAAAATGAAAACAAAATACTTCGGTATCAAATGAGAGAACACCAAGAAAAAGAGTCGACAAAATACCGGGTGATCCAAAACTCTTGCCAAAAAGAGACGCTGGTCGGTTCGTCGAGCAACCCTACAGTGATGAAGCCGCCCCACATGCCGTACCCAAGAGTTCAAGATGCCGCCTTATCTGAAAATTTATGACGGTACGACCGACCCCGAAGATCATGTAACTCACTATGTCACTGCGGTAAAGGGCAATGATCTCGCCAAAGAACTAGTCTCCTCCATCTTGTTGAAAAAGTTCGGCGAGATCCTTACCGGAGGAGCATTGGCTTGGTATTCACAGTTGCCCGCGCACTCCATTGAAACATTTGAAGAGATGGCCGATAAGTTCGTAACGGCCCATGTTGGGGCTAAAAAGGCGGAGGCAAGAGTGAACGATATATTTGCCATCAAACAATCACCCGGAGAGGGATTGAGGAATTTCCTCGCTCGATTCAACAGAGTAAGGATGACCTTACCGAATGTATCGGAAGGAATGGCTGTAGCAGCTTTCCAGAACGGGCTGAATAGGAATGGCTCGAGGGTAACCAAAAAACTATTAAATTGGATTATGAAATATCCTCCAACCACTTAGGATGAAATACACAACGCCTACTGTGCCGAGGTCCGTGCCGACGAAGACGACCTGAATGAGCCAACTCATCGATTGACCTCGGTACAAGCCAAAATCAGGAAGGATCGAAGAAATAATGCCAAGAGAGATCTTGCAGCTCCACGATCCAACCGAGAAAGGCATCAGCCATATGTGAGAAGCGTCATCATGCCCCTCTCCCGCCACAAAGAGGGCCCATCTAGGCCAAGGACAGGGACGCACCGGAATGAGAGAAGTATGTCCCCTTTACTGTCCGCTCACAATTTTTGTGTGTCACCCTCAGAAATAGTCTATGCATTGGAGAAGCTCGGACCAAAAGTAAAGTGGCCACAAAAGATGAGGTCAGATCCAAGCACTAGAAAATCAGACGCCCTCTGCGAGTTCCACCAAGAGCGAGGTCACAAAACTGAGAACTGCATCGCCCTAAGACAGGAGGTCTTGAACATGCTTCATCAAGGACACCTCAAAGAATTATTGAGAGACCGAGGAAGGACCAACTTTGCCCAAGGACGTGAACAACACCAGGGACTGCCGAAACCACCCTCACCGACTCGCACCATTCAAATGATCATCGGGGACGGCGACGATGTTTCGATCAACAGCATAAAGTTTGCCACAACCCACAAGCTCAAACGGTCAATCACTAATGAACGGTACGACGAACTCGAAGAAAGTATCATCTTCGATAAGCCAGATACCCACGATTTGGTTTTCCCTCACTATGATGCCCTCATTATCACTTTACGAATATTAGATACAGATGTAAGACACATTATGGTGGACGATGGGAGCGGCGCGTGCATTGTCCATCCTCGAGTACTTGCACAAATGAAACTCGAGGATAATATAGTACCGTGTTGCATCATACTAACAGGTTTTAACAATGCAGTTGAACGAACATCCTGGGAAATCACACTCCCCGTCCTGGCCGGCGGCGTCACTCTGGAAACCATATTCCACATCATGGACCAGGATACGGCGTACAACGCCATAATAGTTCGACCTTGGATACACGCCATGAGAGTTATCCCTTCCAGCTTGTACCAAGTTATCAAATTTCCAACCCCATGGGGAGTATTCAGCATACGAGGAGAACAACGCACATCTCGAGAATGCTATCGCATAGCCCATGATTGTACATACACCCATTAGAGATCCCGAAACAATAGATGCCACGGGATCAACCATAGAAGACCTCGACCCCATCCAACCTAATGAAATGACTACAGCAAGAAAGCCTACGTCGGCTGTAAGCTTCAAGAACGAGGTAAATTTCGTCAATTCTTAACTGCTAAAGCGAACTTGTTTGCTTTTTCCCATGCAGACATGCCAGGTATCCCGAAGGAGGTCACCACACACAAGTTGAACGCTGACCCGTTCTATCCCCCGGTAAGGTAGGTTAGGCGAAAGTTCAATTCCACAATAAATGATGCAGTTCGCGAGGAGGTCGAAAAATTGTTAGAAAACGGCTCCATCAGGGAATCAAAATATCCCCAGTGGGTCGCCAATGTGGTCATGGTAAAAAAGAAGAACGGAAAGTGGTGGATGTGCATAGACTTCACGGATTTAAACAAAGCATGTCCCAAAGATTCATTCCCGCTACCTCACATTGACCAGCTCATTGACGCAACAGCCGGGCATGAACTACTAAGCTTCTTAGATGCCTACTCGGGCTATAATTAGATCCATATGGAAGAGGAGGAGCAGGAGAAGACCACCTTCATCACCCACCAAGAAACGTACTGCTATAAGGTGATGCCCTTCGGACTGAAAAATGCGGGGAAGACATACCAAAGGTTGGTGACCAAAATGTTCAAAGACCAACTTGGCAAAACCATTGAAGTCTTCATAGACGACATGTTAGCCAAGTCCAAAAAGAAAGAAGATCACATCGACCACCTGAAAGAGGCCTTCGACATACTCAGGCCATACGGGATGAAACTAAACCCTGATAAATGTGCGTTCGGCGTAACTTCAGGAAAATTTCTAGGCTTCCTAGTATCACAAAGAGGCATTGAGGTCAATCCCGACCAAATCAAAGCCATTGAGGGAATACCAGAACACTTAACCAGCAAAAAACAAGTTCAAAAGCTGACCGACCGCATCGCCGCCTTGTCGAGGTTCATCTCACGATCATCTGATAGATATCACAAGTTTTTCAGCATGCTCAAGAAGGACAACGGCCTCCTATGGACATCCGAGTGCGTTCAAGCCCTGAAGGAGTTAAAAGCCTACCTAACATCGCCACCGTTACTTGCCAAAGCATAACCAGGGGAACATCTGCTCGTCTACCTCGCCGTATCCGAAGTAGCGGTGAGTGTAGTCCTAGTCCAAGAAAATAAGGGTACGCAATCTCCTATCTATTACATTAGCAAAACCCTAGTCGATGCCGAGGCGAGGTATCCCCACCTCGAAAAACTGGCCTTGGCCTTGGTCATAGCTTCACAAAAGCTTAGACCCTACTTCTAATGCCATCCGATCTCGGTAATCACAACTTTCCCCTTGAGAAGCATCTTGCATAAGCCCGAGCTATCGGTAAGATTAGCTAAGTGGGCCATAGAATTGAGCGAGCATGATATCACATATCAACCGCGGACGGCGATAAAACCACAAGTCCTTGCCGACTTCGTCGCCTACTTTAGCGCAAAAATAATGTTTGAAGTCAAAAAAGAAGCCGCCCACGCTTCTCCGTGAATGCAAGATCTATGGATTTTGTACACCGACGGCGCTTCCAATGCATCAGGGTCCGGACTTGGACTTGTACTCGAAGTCCCGACAGGCGAAGTGGTTCGCCAGTCCATAAGGTGCCCGGACATGACTAACAACGAGGTCGAGTATGAGGCCGTGATTGCAGGGTTAAGGCTAGCACTCAAGTATGGGGCAAGGCGGGTTATCCTACGTTGCGACTCTCAACTCGTCATCAACCAAGTCACAGGGACTTTCCAGATCAAAGAGCAAAGGTTACAAAAATACCAGGCCGAGATCTGCAGGCTATTGCCCGAGTTCGACGAGTGCTAGTTCGACCAAATACCTCGAGCACAAAACATCGAAGCAAACGACCTCGCCAAATTAGCGGCAGCAACTAAAAGCATAACCGGAGAAGGAAACGTGGTCACCCTTCTCCACTCATCGATAGATCAAATCGAGGTAAGGACCATAAATCTAACCTGGGACTGGCGCAATCGTATTGTTACATACTTGTAGGATGACGTACTCCCAAATGATAAAAAGGAAGCCAAGAAGCTCCGGATACAAGCGGCCACGTACAACATCATTCACAACGGCCTATACAAAAGGACGTATGGCGGGCCCCTAGCGAAATGCTTAGGCCCGAATTAGACGCAGTGCGTACTGGAAGAAGTCCACGAAGGCCACTGCAGAGCTCACTCAGGAAATCGAGCTCTGGTCAGATGTTTCATACGGGCAGGTTACTACTGGCCTACTATGAAAAAAGAGGTCGCAGACTTCATAAAAAAATGCGAACAATGCCAAAAATACGCCCATCAAGCGAGCGATCATCTCCACTCGGTCACCTCCCCTTGGCCTTTCATCAAATGGAGAATGGACATCATCGGCCCCCTCCCCGCGGGGCGAGGTAACGTACGATTTCTTTTAGTTTTAACTGACTATTTTTCAAAATGGGTAGAAGCAGGAGCATTTGCCCAAATACGCGAACAGGAAGTGATCGCCTTCATATGGAAAAACATTGTGTTCCGCTTCGGCCTCCCCAAAGTGATTAGTTGCGACAACGGACCCCAATTTACTAGAAAAAAGGTCGCAAAATTTTTTGAGAAGTGGTATATCAAAAAAATACTCTCCATACCATACCACCCCGCGGGCAACGGGCAAGCGAAATCCTATAATAAATCAATACTAAACATCATAAAGAAAAAGCTTGAGGAAGCCAAAGGATTATGGCCGGAGCTGTTACCAGAAGTGCTTTAGGCCTATCGCACAACGCCAAAGACGAGTACATGAGAGACACCCTACTCTTTAGTCTATGAGACTGATGCGGTAATACCAGTCGAAGTCGGAGAGCCCAGTTTGCGATACTCCCATGAGAGCGGGCCGAGAAACGATGAAAGCAGAAGGCAAGAGCTCGATGAAGTCGAAGAACGGAGAGATATGGCCTACATAAGGATGGTCGCCCAAAAACAGCAAGCAAGACACTATTATAACAAAAAAGCCAAGATCAGACCACTCAAAGTCGGGGACTACGTGCTCAAGGCTAAAACACAAGCAAGTAAAGACCCGCGGGAAGGCAAACTAGGGATGAATTGGGACGGCCCATACAAAATCATGGCAGCAGCAAATAAAGGGTCATTTCAACTAGAAACAATGGAAGGTAAACTACTACCAAACAACTGGAACGTCGCCCACCTCAAGTATTTCAGCTTTTAAGAAAAAGCGTCCTCCAAGTCGCACTCTTTTTTCCTCACTTGAGTTTTGTCCCAATCGGGTTTTCTCGATGAGGTTTTTAACGAGGTGACAAGGGGGACACTTCCAAGTCAAAATGCGAACGGAAAGAGACACCAGACGGTTAGTTCATTGCCCAACCTCTCAACACGTCTCCAGGTCACCTAATGAAGGGACTAGATAGACTGGGAATTGAATGCCAGTCCAAAAAACATGTAAATTTCTCCAAGTATGAGCAAAACACAAATGTATGAAGTCCGCCTATATTCTCGCCAGAACAACATCACCTCAATATCAACCCGGCCCCTGGCCACAATTAAGTAAATTACATTCGACCTCGTTCGAATTAACTGACAATTGACCTCATTCGAATTAACTAACATTCGACCTCGTTCGAATTAACTCACATTCGACCTTGTTCGAATTAACTCACATTCGACCTCTTTTGAATTAACTACATTCGACCTCGTTCGAATTAACTCACATTCGACCTCGTTTGAATTAAACTACATTCGACATCGTTCGAATTAAACTACATTCGACCTCGTTCGAATTAAACTACATTCGACCTCGTTCGAATTAAACTACATTTGACCTCGTTCGAATTAACTTATATTCGACCTCGTTCGAATTAACTTGCATTCGACCTCGTTCGAACTAACTCACATTCGACCTTGTTCAAATTGACTCACATTCGACCTCGCTCGAACCAACTCAATACAGGTTACGTTCGACCTCGTTCGAATTAACACTTGCTAATCCACGACCATGGCCAAAACCAAATTTTTATGATTAAAACAACATTTCTTACTTCAAATATATTCCTTACAAAAGCTAAAACAGATGCGAGCAAAAGTATGTATAAGAATTACAAGCAAAAGAAAGAAAAACAACTACATGCTACCTAACTCAACAACACCATCTCCACCCATTTCTCCACCTTCACCGCTGCGATACTCAGTCGTACCAGGCGTCCTGCTCAATCCTTTCCACGTCTTCCTCAACATCACCAGCTTGTGGTGTGGCGGGGTCATAGCCACAAGAAAACTCACGTGCCTTAGCACGTGCATTCACTAAGTCGGCTTCCGAAACATCCCCCGTCCCCATCATATCCCTGAATATGTCCAGCTAGGCTTCAGCGTGAATCCATTCCTCATACAGATCCCGAGGAACATCAGGAAAAGTAGTGCGGGAGGAGGACGGATGCGCTAATAACTGTGCCTTCTCGGCCTCGAGGGCAACAACTCGATCACTAAGGTCCGCAGTCTCTTTTTCTAACTCCTTAATCCGCTCATCAAGTCGCTCCTCTCTGAGCCTAGCCGTCTCCATGGCGCAATCCCGTTCAGAATGAATAAAACGGATTGCGTCCTCTAAAGCTCCAACTCTATGCACATCTGATAACTGGGCCGACTCCACCATATCCAAATCCGCTACCTTCTCGGCGACCTCGCCACTCAAAACGGCCGCTCGAAGTTGACACTCCTCCAGCTCGGCACACAGCGAGACCACTTGGGACTAAAGGTCAGCGCACTAGGCCTCAACCACCCTACTCACTTCGAGCTCCTCCTCTTTGTCCTTCAACGCCCCCTCGAGCTCACTACATTTTTCGATGACCTTCACCAATTCGTTATCCTTCTCCTTTAGCTCATTTTAGAGGGCCCAGAAGTTTCTACTACCACCAACTCGCCAGTAAAGCTCACGGTGCTTATCACGATATTCACGATATTTTCGCTCCATCTTTTGGAAGATAGCCTTACGCCTCTCCTCTCGGCGGGAACTTTCAATCTCCAAGATCACGATCTGAAAAGAAAGCCAGAGCGGGTAAGAATAATGTCAAAATGAACATAAAAAACGAATAAGGAAACAGAATACCAAATATACCCTAAGAGCAAGGCCGGCTATGCTCTTCGACAAAGTGGAATCCTTCAGCTTCTCGAGGGTCTTACCCTCTACATCGAAACAGAGTGGACCAAGAGAAGGGACCACGTCCTCTGTATCAACTAATAGGTCCCGGTCTAAAGGGATCGCAATGGTTCGCATGCTCCCTCCCAACCTCACCTCAAGTCGGGTAAGTCCTTCCCCCATCATCCTAACTTCCTCGGCGTCCATATCGGAGCCCGTCTCATAATCCTCTTCGGCAACACTTTTGCCCTTGTTGTCAACCCGAGAGGAAGAGCCCTCGGTCGGTAAAGAGATCGATGTCTCACCCCGTGTAAGGCATCGAGGATCCGCACTGACGACCCTTCAAAACCCGTTCCAGCCCCAAG